GACCGCGTGATCCTCACTGTGCCTGGTTGGAGACACTACAAGATATGGCTGTCAACCGATATCAGTGGCGTTCTTGTTGTCAGTTTCTATCCAGATTGGCTGAGTGAATGTCTGGAGGTGTAGGCACCTCTGAATGATTGTTTTAAGCTAGCACTAAGTCCCTCTCCCGTCCACCTTTACTCTTTTCTTTACAATAAGGCTTTCAAATAAGTCATGGTTGTACGGCAGTGAAGCATCGGTGTTGAACACTGATGTCATGCTGTCGATGATAATGACAACAGATATTTTGGTCAGCGGCGTTGTTGTCCGAGCTCTTATTGATACCGGCAGCTCCAGAATGATGATGATGATGAACAAAACCAGAATCATTCATGGAGTTCGGAAAATGCCTACTTTCGCCCACCTGTTTCCTTCAATTATTCTCACTCTGCACATGGGTGGTCACGATTTCCCAAGCAGTGTTACTTAATAATAAATCTTGGTTTTAAACTAAAAGAAAAACATCATTTGACTTTGTGTGACGAGGTGAAGACCTTTCACCTAATCGTCGGAGTTCAAGGCTGCATTTGACAAATTGAAGAATCAACCAATATATCGTCATTGTAATGATTCGGTGCTTTTGATTGTGAGCATTACTGACTGATTATTAGTCCTCTTGATGTAATCAAAACGGGACTGTATCGAGCTTATTGAAAGTTATCACGAACGTATCAGTTGTTGGTGGTACTGAACCAAAACATGTGTCCTTGTGAACGTTGGAACGATACCTGGATAGATGACAAAGTGTGGCCGAGTCAAAATATTGCTAACACGAATTGCTTTACCCACAACTCTTGCAAAATGCTCTTGTATGATCAGCCTTTGAACTCAGCCATTGCCCAATAGGGGCAGAAGATGAAGGCTGAAGTGAGCCACCTCAAAGTTGATGGACATTTCTGTCTTGATGTGCGCATTCTGTGTAGATTGCAGATGTCTGGTTACTCAACAGCCACAACAAATGCCTAAGGCTGACTACAACAAAGTTGTATTATTGTTGCATGTGCGTCATTTTATTTCCTCTAAGATCGCAAATTAGACCATGTTCAGCTTCTCTACCGGAAAATTCAATATGGAACTTCGCTGCTACCAGTTAAACCGCCCTTTCATCTGGGCAATTGCACGAAACGTTCCTCTATTCATCTGTTCTCCGACACCTAGCGTGGAAGTCGTTACGGTTTTGGCCCCCACTCCTATTCCTCAATGGGATTTAAGCTCATCAAACCCGTTTCGTTTGTTATCGTTGTAGAATGGAAAACGTTACGAATAGCACGTTGCGCAACATGGTAATTGACATGGAAAAGAAGCAGCGTATCCTCACGAAGAAGCTCCACTTTTTGGTCAGCGAAGTGCGAGATTTGTCGGCTGTGCAACACATGCTTACTGATCACGGCGCCAAACAAGTTCGGTAGGTTTACGGCGTTGTTTTGTTCTCGTTCTACCGGCAGCCCTGTTCCGGTGAGGATTTTCTTTAGATTGATAAATTGAGTTCCACACTGTGTGATCTGTCTGCTTTAGGTTATTTGAGGTGTGTAGAGACGCAGAGAAGTAGGGCGAAATCATCTTTTATGATCCAGCGACTTGGCTCCAAGGGGTCACAAACAAGGTTTTACTGCGAGCAGACCAGACGTATGTGGCATTCGCACATACTTGGATGAGAATTCCGGCGAATCTGCCCAACATGAACTGTAAAATCTGTTGTGGATAAATCTAAGGTTCGAATGACGTCAGATACCACAAAAATATGTAGCCAGATAGCAATTTCCACTCTAGGTTTGGGTTCCCACCACCATTCAGTGGCATACAAAAAAGACCCGTACGTGAAACTCCGACCGTCATATACTCTGCTTGGTCAGTGTGAACAGTCATGCAGTGCAGCTGCCCATATTTTTATGGCTCTCAGCAGCTGACGTGGGAACATGACTACCAGCCATGAAGGTAGACAGCTTTGACTCAGTCGTACATGCCCCTCAATCTCACATACTGATATAGCGTTCGCATTCTCTTTAACGACCACACAAATCGCGGCAACCTGATTACCTATGAGACGGATCAAGATGAGTGGAACAGCTTCTTTTTTGCTGGCAGTGCGACAATGGACTAGTTGGTTTAGCGGACCCGTCAGGGCTTTCAGTAAATCTGCCAGTCCTCATAAGCTGAACTTCACTACCTTCCGAACACGTAATGATTGGTTTCATGAAACTGGTTACCCAGTATTATGCAACAGTTGTGTTAACTGCCTGCGTCAAAGGTGACTTTGAAGAATGTTAGCAATAAGCTAGTCGACAGGACATGGAGACGGGGGATCTTGGTAATATCTAGTGAATAAAATACCCAAAGGGATCGGTTTCTAGTTGACGATTTGTCTTTGGACTGACCCTGTGAGAATGCCGTCAGGCTTACTGACTTTGGAACGGACGTCTGACCGCTAGACCACATTTTAGCTCAAGCACGGTGTACTTCATTCGCTCATAACACGAGACACATGGATCGTGCGGTTGTACATACCCAGCTCAAACTTCATTTCCTTACCTGGCGAAGGTTGCATTCTCCAAGTTGCCTAAACGTAGCACTAGTCGGTTCCTTATCAAATTGGAGATAATTTTTGTGCTCTATATTCACTAAAATCACACGCTAATCGACTTAATCAGTCCCAAACTGCTTTCGGCAAGCGACCGAACAAGAGATTCAGTTGAGTCACTCGTGAAAATCAAATTGATTTGCAAATGAGTGTATTCCTCGAAAAAAGTTCAATATGGGTTCAAGTGCTGACGGGAACTCAGGGACTGCGCCTGCCTGATGAGCCGCAAGAAGGGCGAAACCGGTCGTGGGCTGTCGAAGATTTTCAGCAAACCTGTGAGTAGTTTCCTTTATGAAAATATATTGCGAAACATGAGGAGGCCTGTGTGCAGCACATTCAGTTGTAGAATATCATAAACGAGAGATTCAGTTGAGTCTCTCGTGAAAACCAAATTGATTTGCTGCTGAGTATATTTCTCGAAAAACACCGTGGCTCGGTATAGCAATGTGCACGGTTTTAGACCGTGAAAAATAATGGATATTTTTAACACCAATTAACCATAATCAACCAGGAATATAAGGTGTCTCGTTGCACGCTAAATTAACAGTTAGTACGTTTAATAGGGAAGCCTTGTTATATATATATATAACTAGGAATATCACCCCAATTCTTTGGAGTTAATGTCCAAAACGTGTTTAGTTACCTTGGTAGTCCTTGGTTCGTTTGGCTGTTCGGATTTAATATGGTGTGGTGTTGGTGCCTAGGTTGTCTTGAGATCCTGTTCATCTCTTGAGGCTAACCTGAGGTTTTATATTCAACGCTTCATCTCCCTAATATGACCACTGATGAGACGTCTTGCGAGCTATGTTAAAAGTTGATTGGTACCGGAGTTAAAGGCTGACCTTCGCGACAGTCGGCTGAAATCTTAAATCTTGTGCGAGAATTCCATTCCCAATGCCATGTTGGTCAGCAAGCTCTTGGTAGTCATGGTAGAATGCGAAAGTTAGCCGCCTTCGTGAAGCGAACTTGTGATAATTTTCGAGTAAGGACATGATGTATGCAGTTATATACACAGTCTTTGTGATGTTGCATGTAGTCAGTTTCCTTTATGAAAGGCCACGATGTTGTTCTGTGTGACAGAGACCTTTGTGAACGTCAGAGACGTAGAATTGCGTTAGAGAGGGCACTGTATGCGAGAGGTACGAATGAAAAATGTGTACACCAACACCGTCATGTTTTACCCGGAGTTATCAAAGGAAGTCTTTGTCTACTTTTCTAAATATGTCATGGCTCATTGGGGGGGGGGACAATCCTAATTGTTCTAAAACCACAGGCTGTCAAGAAATACTAGTGCAGATACCTTGTATCCAGAGAAACCTGTTATTTTCACAAAGGAAACTACTCACAAGGAAAACTCTTCGACAGCCCACGACCGGTTTCGCCCTTCTTGAGGCTCATCAGGTAGGCGCAGTCCCGAGTTTCCGTCAACCTTATGATCTACTTGAACCCAAATTGCACTGTTTTCGAGAACTACACTCGCTTGCAAATCCATTTGGTTTTCATGAGAGACGCAGATGAATACCACAAACAAGAGATTCAGTTGAGTCACTCGTGAAAAACGAATTGATTTGCAAATGAGTGTATTTCTCAGAAACCTGCTGTCTTCAGAACGGCACAGAAGGAAGAAGTGTTGTCCAGTGCTTGATCTGATGGAGCTGAAAAGCTTGAAAATTTTACTTGTTAGACTAGGTTACAAACTTTGATATGTTTGAGTAGGCCAACATCAAGCACGTCAAGTGTGACCGTTTTCAGTACATACTTTTGGCCATGAATACCGTTGTGAATGGGCAGAGAATCTGAATTTTTGTGCTCATCAGGCCAATCGTCGAAGCATTGCCACAAATAGTGTATTACCTTTCAAATCGCTGCCACTGTACCTAAATATCGATTGACCCGGTTTCGAGCGTGTAACCAAAATCTAGTTTGCACATTCAGTGTTGATTGGCAACGTATAGTCATTTAGCTAGTCCAGCATTTGGTGACCCGCTGGCTTCCAAGCGTTTCACAGGTTCATTTGCAAAGATGAATGATTGCGTTATGGCACATCGTCACTCACTTTTTAGTAGGCTGATTCACGATCTTGTCCTGTAAAATGAATGCTTCTGGATCAGGCAGAGACATCATTTTCGAGCTATCCAATTTCACTCTCTATTGACTACAAGATCTGAACCTCCAGTGGAGTGAATAGCTGTTTAATTGGTTTTTTTTGCGACACACTTGCATTAACATCAGTTCAATGTTCTTTGCTCCAAGGTCATGTGAGAGCCTCCTCAGTAGCTGTTCGCACGAATTTGAGACACCTTGTGAACTAAACGTTAATTATGAGTAGTTTAATAGACGTTACGCCCTGTGAGTGAAAATAATCTACGCCTCATCCTTGTTGGAAATCAGTAAGGAAAATAGTAAGGATGCCACTAAACATGCTAAATGCGTTATAGACAACATGATATTACTTTCTGGATGAACACCTTCTGTCTTATGCAGTCATTCTCGTACAGTAGACACTTGCTGACCCCAAGTTGAGCCATGAATTGTGTAAACAACGTCAACTGGACAACCCCACCTAACATAAATCACATATCAGTATCTGTCTTTAATCTGTCAAGCATTAACTCCGGTTTTACGCTGGGATTAATAATGGGGCTGACTACAAACTACTCAAACCTTGCAAACAGTATACAAAAAATTGGTTGATTCGTTTTTTTTTCAATTTCGACATTCAACTGAGAGCTGAAGACTTACGAGTTCATGTGTTCCTTTCCCGCTAATTCTACCCCATCGAATAGGTTAGTGTGAATCATAAAATTTTGCCTCATACCCTCTAAAAACACTCGACGAATTTGGGCTTTACACTTTGGCCCACGCTCGTACTGAGGTTTTTGGAGCGAACATTCAGTTAGTATGTGGTTAACTGACTTTTGCATTTGGTAGGCTGTCATTCGCCGTCTGTTTTCAGTTAAGCCAACCGGAAGAGTGTAGCCAGTCCACTGAGTTCACTCAGCGGAGCAGAATACTGCTCTTGATCGGATGAGGTGCGCTATTCATTACGTTGCTTTTTAAAGTTTCTTTCAACTGGCTACTCCTGCTAATAAGTAGAATTTAAGCTTAACTCACTATCTGGATGCACGGTCCAGAGTCACTTATGTCAATCAGCACTGATAACCTGTTCTTTTGAGGAGCTGACAGGGTAAAAATGCCAGAGCACCGCGACAGATTTTTCCCCCGTACGAGTACTATGCCCACATCTTCTCATCAATAGTGGGGTACAAGATATTCAGTTCAGAATAAGCGGAGTTAAACCAGAGAGATTGTGGCACCAATACGTCTTCATTGGCAAATGGTCAAGAATGGCTACAGGTGTTCAAATGTTCCTCAGCCAGCAACACTTCAGATGTGACTGTTCAACATCGCCGTGGTATGACAAGGGGACGATTCGAAAGAAGAAGCGAAACGTAGGAAATGGAGATCCAACTTCTCGACCGCCGTTAAAAATGTCGGTGGGGGCAGAAATACGCAGCCGTCAATTCAACGAAATCAGAAAGACTTGTATATTACGTAAAGTTGCAAAAAAGTCATAAAGATTCAGAAACTAGCTTTGGTAGATTGGTGTGGAAACGATGTGCGTGTACGGTTAGTACCTGGTGTCCGTTCCGTAACCACAAAAAACTGATGTTCTACTGTGTGAGGAATTTCCGCGGGCCTAAATAAAACTGGCGACTTTCCACCATCCTACAGACTTGTGCATATGTTTCCGGGAGCCAGTGAAATCAAAGAGCTAGACTTAGAAAAAGTGCAGACTTCCAACAGACTGAAGGTAATGAGGTTATTAACAATAAATGAGTGTTCGCAGATGAGAGGTTTTTAGGTAACTTTTGCGAAATTATTTAGCGCGGTGTCCTTGGAGTAAGGAGACATCGTACAGTCTGAGGAGTTGTCCACTCATGTGCTCTCATGCAGATATTGTAATATCATTTCTACTTGTCAGTAGAAGGAATAGGCAACCACAGCGCTTCATAAAACTGCACGAGCTCTAGAGTCGTATTTACATGGACAGTGATGAACGAGGAACTGCCGAAAGAGTTCGTATGTTGGCCTAATGATCAAACCGAAACTTGGGGAAAATATATCTTTGGTTTATTAGCTGTGAGGATACCACATAACACGGAATCAGAGCTGAGAGTAATGCTGGTCAATAGCGATATGGAATCAAGGAATCGTGCTCCCAGACTGTCAACGGAGCTTTTCACTGCAAACGAACTTGGGTTTGATCATCCAGTAGATTAGAACGATTTGTTTAGGCCAGCGCCACAGTTCAAAACAGTAGCTGCCCTCGGGCAAGGAACGACCGACTCCAAATGTCAGCCAATAATATAGGGGCCAATCACGTGTGAGCATATCTGAACGGTGATTGGAACACACAAACAGCGGCGAACGATGCTGTTTGTAGTCTGATAAAAACCCGGGGATTAGCAGCAATAAACTGAGGTTTCTCTGGAGTGAAGCGAGTCTTTTTGATCGATTACTGGGACCTTGGGAACAGTGACACACTTATAGTGTGTTTTTCAGTCTGCGGGAGCCAAATGAACGATCAGCTTTACAAATGTCCGTCACATCACAGCCAAATGTCACCAGCTCAGTTTGATCCACATTAAACAGGTCTTTCCTTTCAATAAGAGTGCATGTGCTTCTATGCCGAAGATCTCTAAAGCTGAGGCCACTGTTTTCAATCTCAGAAACCTTCCCTCCTCAATATACTTATGAGTTTCCAGTGGAAACTATTCCGTCTTCTCAAGTGTAGATGAGTTCTTCTCGGCTCACCAAGGGTCACAGCTGTCATAAAATTATCATCCACGAAGAGTGTACTCTGATATGCGGAAATCGAACTTATGACACATTTCCCCTCAACTTCCACAACCACATCACACTCGTAGTTTAAAAATCGAATGCCATTATACCAGATGTCTTCCTTGACTGAAATGTTGGTTGGGAGCAACTATCATGTCAAAATCATGAGCCATCGCAACCCAACTCAATCAGAAGCCATCGGAGGTTTCAAGCCCGCTGTCCTGAGCTAGGAATTCCGGCTGAGTTTTCCTTGGAAGTGTTCAAGGCAACGATTCTGGGGCTCTTTTTTACTGATAAGTGGGTCACTGTCGTCAGTAACTTATTTGCTCACAAGATGCTTCATAAGGCCCAGCTTTGTATATCAGTTGGAACATTTTGGGCTCATTCGCAGAATTTCTAGCCTCGATCATCCCTTCAGCGTTCTGGATCCACCAAGCTTCCCGATCCGCGCAGATGATCTTCTTAATTGGCGGTATTGTACTCTCGATCAGGGGCAATACATGTTCAAGCTCGAGCTTCACTGCTTAGGTCTGATTGGTTGTACCGTTTCACAGGCAGCTCAACACCTTGCAAGGCTGCTGGATGCATCTGTCAACAGGAGTCACTACCACAAGACGTTTCGTCCAAAAGTGACTTCAATAGGTAGACTTGTTTCACATTAGGGTCCGAGAGCTCCGCAATTGCCAGACGAGGTGTATGCCTTTCGCTTGCCACTGAAGAGCGTGTAGTGTTCTGGCTACCCAATAAGGTACTTTACCAGGAGTTTGTGGCGAAGGAATAAAAATAATAATGCTAGATTGAATATACATTAATGGAGAGGTCAGATTGAACAGACTCACTAGTAATCGTTCTCCTTAAAATAGTTCATCGTTAGCCCAGTTCAGCGAATAAACAATAATCCAGTCAGGGTTGTCCAGGGGTCTTCTTCTGAACAGTTCACACATATAATAGATTCCGAAGATGTCTGAAATGTTTTGGCACCAGAGTTAGTACATGAGACTCGCGAATGACCGCTGTAAGTGCGAGCAAAATCAGGATAGTCAGAGCACGTGACCACGTATTTATTGTGTATACTTGCTCGAGTGCGCAATTTTGTAGTTCTTCGTATTTAAACAAAAAGCGATTGTGCAGTTGACAAAATACATAATGTTATAGTGGAAGCAAAATAAAAGTACAAAACACCACAAGCGCAGCCAAAAGAACCATCGAACAAACTCATAATCCGAATCCACGGATCTAGAGAAAATAAGTAATCGACCTACACCAACCTATGACGATGTGGTCTATTGGACTTGGAGCTTGGCACGCATTGGGCGACTCAAACTGAGGTACATGTTGAGTAGGATGGGAGACGTTTTAAAGAATCTTCCCATGTGAACCAAGGCACATTTGTCCATGGGCTAACGGTTTGAAAATACAGGTTATTTTTCTTTTCTTTCTTTTAAAAGTTGACCCCTCATGCAGACTTTTCATTTGTCCATATTACAGTTACACGAAGAAGCTCAACTCAGATGTGTTGCAGTGGAAGTATGACTATGTGAAACTTTTGGAGTCGTGCTTGGGTGCATTTCGCGTTGACAGCTGTCATGGCCTAGTTTTCGGAGATTATGGTAGAAGCAAGGTGAGTCCTGATGCTGTTCGGTTGGTAAATGTATGACTCAAACTTGCTAATAAACCATTTTGCGTAAATTAGGAAAAATAAGCCAGCTCTTATGTTCAATGTTCGAACATATTATTCTGTTCTTACTGCACAGCGAAAACAGTGCAGCGCGCCGAGCTTGGCAATTGACTTGTAAATGTTTCGCCATCGTACAAGGAAACATCAGTGCGCATTTGGGTAGGTACCTTATGTTTGCCTGCCTGCGTTAAAAGAGCTTTTGAAGACTATCTATTATCTCTTAACATGATTGGCTAGTTGAGTGGCAGTGTTTTTTATGAATTTATTGGTCCGTTTGTAATCTTTGTTGCGTTTTGGTTTGTACTACCTTGAGTCAATTGGTCATCCCAAAACTAATAGATATAGAAAATATTAAGATGACCAGTCGGTTCGAATGAACGCAAAACACAACGCATGAACGGATCAATAAATTCACGAGAAACGCTGTCACCCAACTAGTCAGTCAAGCAAGGAAATAGTCTTCAAATGCTATATAGGTGCACGCAGGCAAACAGAAGGTACTGTAGTGGTCACCCACTAGAACACGTGTCACAAGTACTCAAACAACATGACGATTCCTGTTCCACTTGCAACCTTCGTTGACAAGATGCACACTACAAATTCCCATCCACTTTTGTTTACGCAGCTACCACCTGTGTCACACGCCAGGCTTCAACCAGATCGTGTCAAGTTGTATTTATGTTCGTATAAGCATCAAACACTAAAGGACCCCCCTCTTCACGCCGTACACAATAAATAGGCATACAACTCGGCCCAACACACACGCGCGCGCACAGGTCATGAACTCGACCGAGTTCCACTGATGACTACGGAACAGCAGCTATACTTCAGAGAAGACACGCCCCGCGTCCGGAACTCCGCTCAGAAACTCTCAACAGTTGTCCCCAAACGATAAGTCACATCACTAAGGTTTGCAAGTGGGACAGGAGTCGTCACGTGGCTTGAGTAGTTGCGACGGGTGATCTAGTGAGTGACCGCTACAGTACCCACCTGCCTGCACACTGATGATGTCACCTCGCATGGTGACGAAAAATTTGCTGGTCATTTGCCAAGCTCGGCGAACAGATCAACAACCACCTGGTCAAGAACCAATAGACTCACCTAAGCTAACAATATTTCAGAGCATATTCTTTGCCACGGTGATTGCCACTAAGAAATCTCTTGGATTCTTTGTTTTTAGCAGCCCCTTTAAATGACTGTTTGGTCTGTTTTCACCGGAAGTTCCCGCACTGAGGACGACACTTGAGAAGGATAAAGGAAGTTGCTGGTGATAGAAGGAGTTTCAGGAATTTCAACGAAAATTTCGCCCGATGAGTGAAACTTCCATCTGAGTGTTTAAACCTCAAGAGGTTAATCAAAATGTGCGACCACTTGATTGGGGTCGCGTGAGTGAATGAAAAGTGGCGCTATATTCTGTTTGATTGTGTGACTGGGAGCAGGTATTTTGGCGCCATTGCTGTTAGCCGTTTCCTGTTAGAACAACTCACTAGGGTTACTAATGAAGTAGTCGATCAGCTTTTGACACGATAGCGGATTGTCGGGCATACACATTAGTAACCAATGGGTATATATTCTAGGGCTTACAGAACCTCAGTTCCAGAAAGATGGGACCTAGTTTGATAGTTCGGCAGTGAACAGAAGGTCACTCATTCTGTGTATAGTAATGATTGTGAAAATATTA